CAGCAGACAACAACAGTTGCAATATGTAAATAGGGTGCCTCTTCCTTTCGGGTGCCTTGGGATATGTATAATAGATTAAGTTGGCTTTGTGCAGAGCAAACAGGTCTGCATTACCAAGAATATGAATAATGTCGGTTTCCATAATTGCTAACATCTGGCTTTCTATAAATCTGTTAAATTGCATGGAAGCAGAATTAGATTTCTGTGTCATAAGTAAAGCAATTACATGGAACTCTGCAGGCAATATGGTCCTATACTGAACTGTGAAATCTTTTCGTTCTGGAGAGGTGGAAGCAACTCCTGCTCTTGTACCAGTTTTATTGTGCACAATAGATATATTTGTCTTTATGCTCAGGTTTTCTTGATTTATAAGAGGAAACAGTGCTGAAGTGTTTGCAACTTTGTAAATGCAAAACGTCCAAATAATAGAACAGCATATTGTTCTCAAGAACTAATTACCGGGTTAGAGATTACTTTAGAAGACACTTATAAATTACAGAGCCTTTCGTAGCCACTATTAGCAGATTGGTGGAAATTACACTTGCAGGCAGTTTCTAGTGTGATTTGCTAATGGGTCTGCCTCTGCCCTTGTCCAGCAGCATTTGACAGGGAAATGAAATGCTTCAGTCGTGGCATGGGGGAGCTCCCGGTACCATTCTGTTGTATTAATTCTACTTTGGACCAGACTCAAAGGCTTTTGCAGATGGGAACTCAGTAATAAATAACAAGATGTTTTCTATGCAGGGCAAGATGGTGATTATGCCTTGCTCTTACTGAGCACTCTAAAGACTAAATTTTAACAAAGTAGGCTTTTTAATAGTGTTAGTACGAATTTTGTGGATTTAGGCAAGTTAAATTAAATAAATACATTGAACACCCACAGTCTTTCTGCTATTTTTGGCACTGGGAAGAGGAAGAAATAAAATTTAGTCTCTGCCCTCAATGAAATCACTGTCCATGGAGAGGAGTATATTAAGCGTGTAACTCCCTAGAGGTGACTGTGAGAATAGAATTGTGTGCGAGGCTCAGAGAGAACAAAGTCATCGTTGGCTGTCTTGCCCAATAAGGAATGGTGATGCTTAATCTGGTTCTTAAGACTGCATGGAAATAAAAGTAGCCGAGTAAAGGACATGCTTATCTTACCAATTAATTAGTCTATACCTGATTTCATTCCATAGAGGTTAATAATAAGAAGTTTCCTAATCTGAAAAGGCATGTTCTACGATGCAAACATGGGAACCAACATAGCCTGTGTGTGATCGTCCAGTGAATACATACACATACACACACACACACACACACACATGTCTGTGTGTATTTTTAAATTAACAAGTAAAAAAGTATATATTAGGATGAAGAACATATTTTTAATGCATGCATGGTGTAATAGCTAAGCCAAGTCAATGAACACATGTATTACCTCACACACGTGTCACTTTTTGCGGTGGGAACATAAAATAATACTCTTAGCATTTCTCAAGAATATAATACCTTGTTAACTATAGACACCATGTTGTCCAATAGGCCTTCACCTATCTGACATTTTGAATTTCTTGCTTTCCGCCTTTGAGTAAAAAGTGAAAGGACAGAAGATAACAATTGAAGTGTTAAATAGCGACTTAGGCTTTTAGCTCGAGCCTTCTAGTACAAGCATCAGAGTAATATAGATACCCGGCAAATACAGGCGTGTCACAGACAGGTTTGCTTTTTAAGCACCACCATGCTAGGAAAGATGTTGACAGCAGTGGTTTTCATGGGGTTGAACAGAACTCAGAGGTCTATGTCTTTCTTTATGTCAGTTCAATCAACCGCTGGTGGTGGTAAACATGAGCACTGGCATTTTTGACTCTGCTAACATTTTGGCTGTGGGCAGTCACAAATCACTACATTATAATGCAAAGTGGCTGGAGGCAAGGAGACCAGATTGGAGGCTGTGACAATAGTCTCACCGTGATGAATATGAAGAGATGAATCCACAGAGTTTAAAGAAACCTGAGTTTTTATTATTTTATTTTATACATGATGGGCCATTTATCTATCTGTAGCTACCTATCATCTATCTACCTACCTACTCTATCTTCCTGTATTTATGACAACTAGGTTATAAATATGAGAGAAAGATATGACTGAATATTTGTAATATGCTACTTTCAAAACAACTAAGAGGTGGGAGTAATGCAAATGTGATCGTTCATTGCAGACCCACAGTGTTATATCCCTAAATAAGGAGCAGTAGTCTACCAGCCATCATTGCTGTGAGAGCTCAGAAGGTGTGCATGATTATATTGAATTGGCACCAGGTTGGGAAAAGCTTACCTGAGAAGGCAGAACTTGAATTTTGCCTTAGATATTTACATTTATCTAACGAAGAAACAGATGTCTGTGGAGTCCCTGTTCTGTTATCTACACTGTAATTTTCAGAAGTCCATAAAGTGACTAATAAGTCCATGTAGATAAAGGAGAAATACAGAGGTGAAGTAATGTGTCCAACAGCATGTGATTGTGAAGTGTAAAATGTTCCTGGTAAGCACTGTGTTGAAACGAGGAGCTCGTCTTCAACCTGGTCCCCTCGACTTTTTTTTTTTTTTTTTTTTTGGTTTTTCTCCGGTACCGGGAACCGAACTCACGACCTTGCGCTTGCCAGGCAGGCGCTGTGCCCCTGAGCTAAATCCCCAGCCCCACCCCTCGACTTTTTCATTCAGTGCTAATTTTAGTTGGGAAGAATTAGAGGAAGAAGAATGAGGAGAGAAGAATGGATTCAAGGAGCACTGTCTGGTCCAATGCACTGAGATAATCTGAGCATGGCCTGAAGAGAGAGCTTGAGGCCAGCCTGTTGTTGACCAGAAATCCAGGCATGATCATTGAGATCATTTGTGTAATTTCTAAGAGGAGTCACTGTTCCTCAACACAGTGGCTTGACTGAGGCTACAATTGGTGGGAAAAAAGAAACAGATCTTGGAGGGAATTACCTTCCGTAAATTTTGCTAGAACTGTTTACTATTTTCTACTTTGCATCATCATTGTGAATTAAAGCTTATACTAATACTTTTCTCTCATTATTTCTTCGAAATTTTGACACACTTTGGGTAATTATATCTTCTTCAAAATTTCAACCTAAAATACTGAAAATGATCTATAAGGGATGTTTGACAATCATGGTAAATGTTCAATTATAAAAAATTACAATGAAATACACATTGTCATTAATCTTTCAAAATACCAACCCTGCTTCAAATGTACCTGTCCCAAAACAATGTGTAATCACTATTTTTTAAAAAAGTGTAATCACTATTTGTATGTAAGATCTTACCCTTGAAAGTGAGCTTAAGTGTCCAGAGGTTAAATAGTTAAAGGTAGATAAAAGCACAGAACATTCTTATGCTGAAAAAAGACTTAAGACCTCATGTTTGCACAGCATACTGGAGAGCACTCTAGTACATCAGTCAGAACGCTGGGGATGCAATTCCTGCCCTGTAATGTGCTCCTCTGTAAAAGGAAAATAAGTATTCAGTTTTATGATTAAATACCCTAACTCATAAAAGTATTATAAAAACTGTCTATGTATATGCATAAAACCATATACATATATGTACATAAATGTATAAAATTATAGCAATGGATATTATTTCTTTGTAATTGCTTGGGACACTGTAGGAGAATATATTGTTTGTGATTTTTAAAAATTTGATCCATTATCCTTGACGAAATGGTTACAAACTTATGTACACTTTACGATGACTTTTATAACATAGAATAAATTATTATTCTGTTTTATTTTCCTACAGAAGTCAAGTTACCAAAAAGTGGCCTAATAATAGATATTTATATATGCTCCTGTGTTCAGTTTATCAATTTAGGGAGGTAGTATTTTAGAGATTAATTTCATCACTTAAAACTTCTAGTGTGGAAATAATCTTGTGCATAGAAGACTTTTGATTTAAAAAATTGAGTTAATGTTATTATCTGAGGGGTACTTGCAACCATGGCAGAAGATTTTTGAAAGGCAAGAGAGGACTCTGATAGACAAGTTACAGGGACCTTCAGATGGCTTAAAAATGTTAAAAAAATGAAAGACCTTGAGGGGGTCTCACAAGTAGTACTAATGTGTAGAAGTTCCCAGGTCATGTATTTCATCTCAATTTAAAAGGGGATTTCTTTTTTATATTTCATCTCAGGTACAAAAGGGGATTTCTTTTAAAGAACTATTCACAGGTAGAATTGGGTACCTAGTGAAGTAAAGGATTGCCCTCTGGGAAAGAGTGTAATCCATGTTAGTCAGGTGTATGTTTAGGATATTGCTGAGGTCACGCAGGCTTTGCCCATCAGAATGAGTTGGCAGGTTCTGTATTTTCCTTTACTTGGCTGTCAGTGAAAACAGAATAATCTTTGTACCTCTTCCGTCAGCATCCATACTAGACTCTACTATAGCTCTGGTATTTTTTTGTGCGGTGCCAAAATGCACTGACCATTAGGATGGAAGGAATTTGATTAAGCAAGTCATCTAAGAATTAGTCCCACTTACAGTATTTCAGCCTTGGATTTAAGATTGGGGGAGAGGCAATCTAACTGGGTCAAGGTTGCCTCATTGCCCTCTTGTTCCTACTCAGTAGCTAATCTAAGCACACAGTTAGTGACTCAGCAGTGTTTATGCAACTGCATGAAAAGCACTTGAGGATATCCTAAAAGCAGTTTATTGCTGCTATGGGATATTTTGGCACCTGGAGTAAGGCAGCTGTGGGTTTGATTTTCAGGATAACCACTTGCTATTTAACTCTAGCAACCCCTGCTCCATTATTTACAAAATAGAGATAAGAGTAGATCCTCCCACACAAATCTGTCTGCAGAGTAAAGGAAATAATGAATGGGAAGAGTTTGGCACAATAGCCATACCGGGGACAAGGTAAATGTCCAATAGCGTTACTCAATGTTATTGCAAATGATTGTTATTTTTGTAAGTTCCCTTGGTTAGGTCCTAAAGTCCTGTGCTTTATTTATTGCAGACATTGATGAATGTGCCTTAAGAACTCACACCTGTTGGAATGATTCTGCCTGCATCAACTTGGCAGGGGGCTATGACTGCCTCTGTCCCTCTGGGCCTTCCTGTTCCGGCGACTGTCCCCACGAAGGCGGACTGAAGCGCAATGGGCAGGTGTGGACCCTGAAAGAAGACAGGTGCTCTGTCTGTTCCTGCAAGGTGAGGCTGACTTAGTGCAGAAGAATTCATAACTACTCTTTCCCTCCTTGACCTTTCTGCTTCCCACTTTTTGCCCCTGCGTGGTTGACTCATGGGTCCCCGTAGTTCCCAATAAACTCCTGCTGTTCTGGTCTGCGCTACAGCTAATGATGATGCTGTATGGCAGGAAACGTGCTTTGAATCGATTGTGCTCGTAGTGAAGAGAGGTGTGGAGTCGACCAGAGACTGCAGCAAGGGAAAACAGGGGCAGCGAGAACCAGTGAGATCCTCCAGGACCTTTAAGTTTGGCTGGAGGAGAGCTTTAATAAGCCCTCATCCTGCACTTACATATATTTTCCCACCAAATCTGTGCTTTGCCTAAAACAATCACCTGCGTGTACTCACTCGCTTTTTGGTAGTATCTTCCAGAACAGTGCAGCTCATAGTCTTGCTTTCAGTGGTCAGACAAGCGGGCTTCTACTCCAAGCTAATGACAGCGACAGTATGAGGTCTCTTAATCATTGCTTTCTTCTTGAACATTCTTGGGCCTGGGCCATTCTTTACATTAAATTGCTTGCAAGTGAGTTTAATGCTTATGAAAATAAAATTCTGTCACCATGTGGTTTTATTTTATGCTTTGTGAAATGGGTCTATTAAAATATTTGATTTCCTTGTGCTTTAGTACTTCTTTTGTTGATCTTTCCCATTTATTTTTCTCTGTAATTACTTTACCGTAGCTCTTGCCTTGAATTTCTGTGTCCACTGGAATGAGATTATTTAATCGTGGGCTTTATGGACATGAAATCCAAAAGAAATTATTTGCTTACAAGCCTTTTAGAGAAGCAGGTCTCCTGATAATTTCTCAGTGTGCTCTCTATACACAGAGCTGGAATAAGCTTTAAAAATCAAAATTCATCTATACAACCTTCAAGTCTGCTATTCCCCAAGAGACCTGGGTGGACCTGGGGTATTTATGAGAGCTATATTGCTCTACACCTATTGCATAACACCTGTATTTTCCCCTTATGCTTAAACCAAGTTCCAAGCACCCAAATTTAGGTTCATTTCTTCCATTTATTGAGCACCTGCTGTTTTGGGCACCCTCTAATTTAAAAACTGCATTACATTCATTCTTCTGGCAAACTTTATAACACAAGAAAGCTCAGTCTGTAAGGTGCAAGTAACTTCCCCTAAATACTGAAGATCCAAGTGTCTATGTGGACCTAGCACACTGCACAGGACACAAGGACTTTGAGCTCATTTGTTGCAAATGTCATAGTTTTCCACATTACCACATGTGCTGCAGACTCTACAGATGGTACAATTTGGATACCTATTGGTATCTTTAAACTCAATTGACCAGTCTGTCAGTCCACTTTATTGATTGACCCAGCTCAACCTCTCTAGTTTGTTAATTCCAGAGAGACATTTCTTTAAAAATTTTAATATATTGACTATGATATTCAATTTTGTGGCACTGACTCAAAGGACAGCATTTTTTAGAGAAGGCAAATCTGACCACCGTGCTGTGATTTGCCATGAGAATCAGCTTCTGTAGCCCCAGAGGTAGCCAGATGCAGAGGGGCAGCAGTCAGAGCTGGCAGAGGCAGAGAGTGGACTATGGAGAGAAGGCCAGAAAATTCGGAGCACAGAAAGAATTGCTTGGTGGCTCTGGGGCCAATACCATGGCCATCAATAAGGTCATGCAGGCCATGGATCTTGTGAAGAATCATCTGACGGCTGCTGCAGAGAGGAGATGGAGACCAGAAGGAGCAGATCTGAGAGCAGATGGACCCCAAACTGGACACTGCGCTAACCACAAGAGTACCCTCCTGCAGACCCTAAAAAGCCCGTAGAAGTTGGAGAAGCTGCAGCCCATGCTGAGCTCCAAGGAGCTAGCTCCTGAGTCCCCACGTGTGCCTGAGGCTGCTGGTGGCTCTGTAGCTTGAGTGCCTTCATCCCTACAGTGGGAAGAGCTGCCAAAGTTGTTCTCCTCAGTTCATATCAGTTTGTTGTGCAGTCCCCATGCGTCACCTTACTTGGAGAACTTTAGATCTGGCCAAGCTGGTGCTAAGACATGTCCCAAGCACAAAACCACCTGTCACTCAAGTGACAGATCCCTGACAAAGAGCAGGTCACTAGAGGCTGAAACGCAGGTCTTAGTGACCTCAAGCCAGTGCACTGCTAGTGTCACTGTGGTCTGAGTCCTTCAGTGGCTTGGGCATCTTAGCTGCAACCGGCAAAGGACAAAGGTGGTTTGAAATGTGATGCCACTTTGCTCCAGAAAATGTAAGGGTCCTGTTTTTCATTTTTATGTACATCTTCAGCAGCTTCACTTGACAAGAACCATCCCTAGGAAGAAGCCACCTGTGTTTTAAGCAAAGATTACTTTTCCCTCTTCCCCTGCCTCCCCAAAGCAGGGACCACAGAGAGGAGAGATTGTTGACCTTCTGTTCTTTAATATGGCATACTGTATGGCTTTGTGAACAGCAGCTTGAGATTACACTTTAGGAACACCACCTACAAAGGTCTGTTTGATCAGTGTGGTAGACCATCAGCTTGGATTTTGCAGTCATTTGAGAAAATTTTTTTTAAAAATTTGGTTTTTTAATTTTTAAAAAATTTTTATTAGTACATGTTTGCTGTACATAATGGTTACATTTATCATGGGAATTTAATACTAGTGTAAGAAGAATTATGTTGAAATTTTCAGTATAGCTTGAAATTTCAATAAACTTTCTGGGTTTTTTTCTAAAGAAAGAAGAGAATGGAAACCTTGTGGTGGACTAGAATGGTGGAGAGGGGCTGGTAGAAGAAGTTTTGTGTTCCGCCAGCAAAATGGGCATGTGATCTTTGTTAATTTTTTTTGAGAAAATATTGTTTACCCAAACTTTTGAGGATAATCACAACCTGAATCCAAATCTTTTTTAACATTTCTAGGTCACCAGTCTCTCCAATAGGCAAAGGCCTTTAGTGGAATATTTGCTCCTGTGAGACTAAGCTTTTGTAAGGTTTTGTTTATATACATGATAAAGCAGGGAGCCTACCAATCATTAAAATCCCCAATGTATCATTAATAACTATGTTAATGAGCCAAGCGTTCTGAGTTACTATATTGTAACTCCTAAAGTTCCTCCAAACTCTTATGAAAATGACACTGAAATTGCCACAGGAGATGAGCAATTCTTGCAATCTTATTTCATTAAGAAGTTGTACTGCCACTTCTTCCTTTTCTAAATGAAAGCCAAGGCACATCCCTTTACATAGATCTTTCTGTCAAAGTTTGGATTTTCAACTGCGTTCAATGCTAATTTAGAGCATAATTTTCCAGAGGTTATGATGATGAAGAGTACTTTGTTTAGGTCCTGAATTAAAGGCTCTGAATCAATTCTGGAAGCTATCATCATAAAAAAAATATTTGTCATCTCCTTGTTTGATTTCTGTCATTTGCAGTTGAAAGTGTCCTATTCCAATTTCATAAGAAACATTGTCAGTACTTAAGCAGACAAATGGATGCTTATAATAACATCATCTTAGAGGCTATAAAATCAAAGTTAGGGTATGAGTTATTGTCAGTCATACCCTTGATGTTTTAATTTCACATAAAACCAAAGTATACAAGAGCAGCATCACACAATCCAATAAAAGATCAAGACTCGGCATTGAGAGAGAGTCACAGGAGTTCTAAAAGGCCAGTTTCTTCTTGGGAGTCAGTAAACTGGTTATGTTGGTAGTCTTTCCTGTCAAATGAAAGAAGGGATTAGAAGCATGTCTACCGAATGGAGTTCAGTGTAAAGCTCAACCAGTGCAGATAGATCTAAGCTTTTCCTTACAGTCTAAGCACTTCCTTGATAGTAATAGGCTTTGTTCAATCCTTGACCACTTAGTTCATTAGGCAAAGAATGATTGCTGGACTATTTAGAACCCATGTTGTTTCAGCATTGTCTATGTTGTAGAAACAAGTAAAAAAAGGTAATCTCCCTGGTCTTGGCTTTTAAATCCTGGCTGCATCCTAAATATTTTCCGTAGACACATATCTGTGACTCTTCTGTTCATAAATTTGTCCAGACCTGAAGAAGACATATTTATTTTCTACCTGTGTCACATAGGAAGGTAGAGGAATCACAGGTTTATCAGTTCCTGAAAAATGTGCACTTTGGTGTGAGTTGTTTTCTTTCTGTTGGAAGTCATGGAGAAGAAGGAAAGAGTTTCCCAATTAATCAATCCCCTGGCACACTGCAAAAATGAGTCATTTTCCATGGAAACATGGACAAACGGAAGTATGGTATGAAAGCTGCAAAAGAGAACAGAGAATGGCTTCCCATAGATAATGACCCTTGAATGAGGAATTTAGCTAAATAGGGATGTGGGGAAAGTGAATCTCAGACAGAAGGAACTGCAAAAGTAAAGATGCAGAAGCTTCAGAATGTATGTGGTATTGGAAATACGAAGTAAATGATGTGATTAGAATACTAGGAGTAAGTAGGGTGTGGGAAGGAAGTAGTCAGGGATGAGCCCATAGAGAAAGCCTGGCCATAGAGCCGAGCATGGAGTTGAGACTTTATCTTGTGTGCAGAGAAGATCCTGACAGATTTCACTTTGGAGGTGGGCATGCCACCATCAAGGCCTGACCACCAGGGTGACAGGCGACCCACGGAGAGGGGAGCTAACAGGAGAAAATCGCCTAGGTTATGGTGAAGGCTGAGGAAGGTAATGAAGAGAACCTGCAGGAGGGGTAGAGGAATGGTCACAAGAGAGAAATCACAGAAGGGAAATGAGGAGTGCTGGTGACGGATGATGCCAGAACCTGAGCTTCCATACATCTCTCCTATTCTGTAGAAAACAGAAGCTGCAGGGTGCCTTGAGCCTTAGCTGCTCATTTCTCTGGGTAAACAGAGTCCAGGTGACACCAGGAAGAGAAAGATCTGGAGCCTGAAAGCAGGCTGCTGTTAGCTTCAGTTACACATCACCCTACATGCCCACCTACACCTCTACTGGGCATCTCATCAGATGCCTGGTAT